AGGTGTAATGTCCACAAGGGAGTCCTGAACCATTCCCAGCCTTCAACACCCAGTTGAAAATGCTTCTCACTTCGCTGTGTAAATGATGCTGGAGGTTTTCAGTGATTCCCTAAGATTTCCCAGCAAGTCCTAAAGATAGAGATATGCCCTGGGATAGTGTATATCAAGGTGTGGCCAGGAAGAAACTCGGCAGGAGGGCTATTTAACCACAGCCTATGTCCCCAGCCTCTACCCAGGAGATCAGACACAGAAGAGCTATATGTTTGAGCAGAAGGAGCCTCTCCCACATGATTATGCTAGGCCTAACCTCTCCAATGCTAGGGGATATAACTCAGCAGAAAGACACAGGAGGATCACCAGTTCAAGGCCAGCCCAGGCAAAAAAAGGAAGATAGACCCTGTCTCAAAAAACAAAGTAAAAAGAACAGTGGTACATGCTTTTAATCCCAGCTAGTCAGGAGGCAGAGGTAGAAGGATCACTGTCTGTCTATCAAGGCTAGCTCTGAGAAAGTTAGCTGGAGATCCTTTCTGAAAAATTAACTAAAAGCAAAAGGACTAGGGTAGAAAGCTTGCCTAGCAAATGCAAGGCCCTGAGTTCAATCCCCAGTACTGGGGGAAAAAAAACCCAGTCATTGAGCATTTGTTAGCTCAAACAATAAACTACACGTATTAATTTACTTAATCCCCACCACAACCATTTTAGTTAGGTAATTTTACCACCTCCCACCTTTATACATGGGAAGAAATCACAATTCAGAAAGGTCGAGAGGTTCAGTAAAGGTTACAAAAGTAGTTGGTGGGAGAGGTGGTAGTGAAGCCCAGGCAGTCTGGCTCAGAGCGAGGAGCTTAGCCACACTGGGAAATCAACTACCTCCCAAAAGATGACTTGTTCACCACACTGGATTATGAGGGGTCTTCCCCAGGATAAAACAAGAGTGACACAAAGCAGTGATGTCCTCCCAGGTAGGGTGGACAAGAGAGGAACTGAGCTCAGTATGTAGACTACTGAGGCAACAAGAGGGCAAAACCCAGCATGTGAAGGGACCAACCAGCTGTCACCTGCATGCAGGCCTCAAAATCCTTCCCTAGACCCTGTCCCATGTGCAGATGCCACCCATTCAACACTCATTCAGCCTCTGACTCAAACGTGAATCCTAATACTTCTAACTTACACAACTACTCTTACAAATCTTACTGTAAGAAATACAAAATTCTACCATGAATTTTGAAGACATCTGTATGTATGAAAGCTCAGCCCACTAACTGAAAGCCCTATCCTACTACCATTTCTATTCTAGCCCAATGCATCTCAAAGAAAGCATGGTCTGTTCAGAATCCTAAGGACAGCTCACTAAAAATGCAGATCACTAGCACCTATCCCAAACCACAGAATCTGAAGGGGGCAGAGAATCTTTATTCTTAAAACGTTCTCCCTCCCCCAGTGATTCCTATGTCACCCAAGTCTGAGTAGCGTTATCATACAGTTCTTAGAAAACCCAACTAAAACAATAGCATTATAATAGATTCTGATTCAAGCCCAAGCAAAATCTTTCCTTCTCCTTATGATAACGAGCTTTCTGTAAAGCAGGCCCCTCTGCCATCACACCTGAAACGAGTTCTCATTAGCTGAAGAATAATTACCTCCGCCTAGCTTTGAAACATTCTAGAAATCTACTTCAGTTCTCTAAATTGTCTCCTACTCAAAGTGCCACCCCACATCCCTAATGATGTTAAGAGGCACCCAGGATGAACTTCCTTTCTTTGTATTGTACAGCCATATTTATTTTAAGGTGAACAAAGAAAAATTACAACTACAAAATCCAAACCTGTGATTTCATGATGATTAGTGGGGCTTAAGAAAAGACTAAGTAGAAAGCAAAGTGATCAGTTTTTTAAAATATTAAATAATAGAACAGACAGTACTCAGATAAAATCTTAAATTTGGAAAACCTTGTCTTGCCTGGTCCTAACTAGCACCCTCAGTTTCAGCCCTGCTTATCTGTTCTCCAGCCTTGACCACAGGCATCCTCTGCCTTTCTTCCAGCTGTGTCTGTGCCTGGCCCACTGTCTCTTTTTTGCAGGTGTTTCTTGAGATGTTACCTACCCTTTCATGTCTAGCTTGTGCCTCTTTCCAGAAACCCTGCTGGATCCTTCCAGCTCTCCTATCACACTCCCCTTTTGATCTCTTTTAGCCTACTTACAGTACTGCTCATTTGGAACCTGATTGCTACTTAAGTATCTGTGTGTATCCACTGTGTCCTTTCCCTAGTGAAATGCAAGCTCCTTGAGAGTAACCCATGGGGTTTTTTTGTTTGTTTGTTTTGGTTTGAGTTTTGTTTTTGTTTTTTTTAACCTCTTCTTTAGTTACAGTGCTAAATTTCCATGGTGGGATCTGAGCACCAAACATGAACTCAAATGAATCCCTGTGAATTCAGAGTACAGCTGAATGACACACTCTGAACAATGACCAAGGCAGCTGCTTCAAGCTCTCCACATCCCCTCCCATCAGGCCAGACTTCTCAGTCACACCTGAGAAAGGGTGTGTACCTTCCGTTCCTGCCAGGTAAGGAACATAAAGTCCTGAACCCAGGAAACTCAATCCGAAGGTGTGATTCTGTGGGTGTATCTGGATGATGGCAATGGGAAGATGGCCTTAGTCAGTCCACTTACAATTTGTCTCCATTTCCAAAGGCCAGTCACCTGTGCTGACGCATCTGTATGTTCAATCTGGAGGAACCAGAGCAGTCATAGCATCCTCTAGTGAGAACATCCCTGGATGAGCAGTTATCAGAACCATTCCCCGACTCAATTCATCCTATGACTTTGGGCTTCTGTCTCAAGTTTTTTAATCTGCCCAATACCTGCCATACCTAAGTCATACTTGCTATAAAACAAAAGAGATAATGATTTTGAAAGCCCTTTAAGCTATCACACACACAATAAAAATGTCAGGGCCACAGCACATGAATCTGCAGGGAGAGTAAACAGACTGGGAGGCCAGATGCTCGGTCCCCACCAGGCAAACAGTAGGCAACAGGAGGTGAGGGCCCATCTCCCAGCCCATCTTTGCTTGCCATGTGACCTTGGGTACCCACTTAGCCTCTCTGGAGCTCAATGTCCTTGTCTGTAAAACTAGCAACAATCTGGTCTAGGGCCAAATCCAACATGAATGTGAGAATCTTAGAGAATGGCAACCATGGAAGGAGTTCCCACTGCTCACCTGATGCATCCTGAGTTTGCTGTACACCTCAGTTCAGTGGCACCAGAGGCACTGGTCCCTCCAACTGACACCTGTTTTGTGAGTAAACACAGACCTCCCATTCATTCATCTTCCCTGCTGTCTGCCTACTTTCTACCCTGCAGAAAGGCCCCATCTCCTTCCTATCACAGTTAAGGTTTTCTTTCCCTTCCTGTTGAAAACAACTTTTTTTTTTTTTGGTAGTAGTGGAATTGAACTCAGGGCCTCATGCTTACTAGGCAGGTACTCTACCACTTGAGCCACTCCACTAGTCCCCAAAACAACAACTTTGAAACCACAGGTGTTCAGTGCTCAAGTCTGATTCTGAAGTTAGTTATCCCTTCAGTCTCCCAGGGACATGAGTGACTGGGAGGCCATATGTAGATAGGGAACAGGGAACAAGTGGGAACTGGTGTGGAGGTGGAGCAGAGGGGAAAGACATCTGTGAAATGCAGTTGAATGGCACTGAGTTCTTTAAGATTCCATAAAGATTTGTCAGCTCTCCAAAGTGGAAGCCACAGACCTCCTAGGGTTGTACTGGTGTGGCTTATTGGAGCTTCTCTGTAAGCCTGTAACCATGGTTGCAGGCAGGCTACATCATAGCCATGAACATAAAAAAAGCATGCTTTTTTCTATTTCCCCTAAAACTCCATGTCCTTGAAAAATATATGTAGGTGTTATACCAAGGAAGTTCATAGGCAACCTTGACCCCTTCACGAAGTTATCAGTTTTTGGTAGAAAGTGATTCCTCTACAACTCTTTGTGAGGAAGCTCAGCTATCTCTTTCTGTGTAGACCAAAGAATGTGAAAATATATTCATCCAGAGCAACACTTCCTCTGGATAGAAACATGTAATAAGTCTGAAAATACAGATATTCATTTCCTAATTTAGCACCTTCCCTCCAAGAAGAGCTTAAAAAAGTCGTAAGCCCAGCTTGCTTCTTTCTTCTTGTCCAAGTGCCAAATTTGAATGTATTTGGTTTATAAAACATTGACAAGGCCTTATTTCCAAGTCCCCAATATCTGACAATGTAATCAATTAACAATTAACTCAACCTCAGAGTTAGAAATAGCATTTCATTCCACTGTATCTTGACAATCAAAACAAGGAAACAATATAACCTTCAGATTCAAAGCACTGACTTCCAATTACAAGCTGTACCATTTTAAAAATACATTCTGAATGGATGGGCAAAGAATTGGACAAAACAAGCTAGACTGATGTTTCTGAGACCCTAGAGGGGACATCCTGGAGAAGAACACGTTTTTCTCTTCGTATGACAGAAGATGTGATAACCACCATGAAGCGGAATAGAAAAAGCAAGCTTCCTCTTAGGAAAAATAAAGCAACTCTTCACTTGGCTACGCAGGACAAAGCCAGGACGTGCAAGAAACCATCAGTCTGAGCTCCACGTGCCACTCCAAGGACAGAGGGACCCACCCCCCACACAATCACTCACAGCCAGCCCACCAGGCGCCAGCGGAAGATACCAGGTCCTCAGTCAACCTCCGCACCAGCGAGAGCTCCCTGTACTACCCGATGTCAGGAGGGCACGGAAAGGGCAGAGGCCATACCCTCTTTCTTATCTTTCTTGCCTCAATGTCTATTTCTCCCCAACTACGAAGTGAAATGTACCTGCCTAAGGAAACTGAGATACACACCCACACACACAGTCCCCAATCCCCACGACCAATGAGAGGGCAGCGAGTCTTTCCCCGAGACCCCATGGCCGAGTTCCCGGACGCAGAGGGGCTGAACTCACCCAGTCCTCGAAGTGGCGGCTCCCGTTCTGCAGCAGCTCCTCGAACTGGATGGTGCAGTTGGCCACGAAGTCGTCGTAGCCGATGGGAGCGTCGTGAAAGACAGCCAGCTCGATCTTGCGCCCATTGCACACATCAGTGACGAACTCGTCGTGCCAGGCCGGGCTGTTGGTCTTCTGCTTGGTGGCCGTTTGACCGATGCGGGAGTCGTCCACGTTGAGAGCGATGTAAGGGTCGAGAAGGAAAGTCTGCGGCCGGGGTCCCACCGCATGGCGCAGCGACCAGGCTGTGGGCTTCAAGCTTACGGCCTCGCAGATTTTGATCTTAAGAAGGCCATTGAACACTACCATGGTCGGGGCGGGGAGCGGGGGTCGGGGTCACTCCGTCCGCCCCGAGGGCAGGAATAAAGAACCGACAGTGGGCGCTCGGAACTGTGAGGACTCCTAGGTCCCCTCTTGCGCTGCTCTGCGACTCACTCCCTACACCTTGTGGCGTTGCGCCCTGGCGCCGGCGATTCTCAACGAGTGCATGTATTTCCTCGCCGGGCTCCTAACGGAAAACAGGGAGGGGGGGAGAGCTGGGAGACGTCCGTGTTTGGAGCAAGCCTCTCCCCCCCTACCACCAGCGGCACCTCCACAAGAGGAGACGAGCTGTCGGCTCTGCTGCAAGCCGCGGGAGCTGCCTCGCCACCTCGCTGGCTCTCCGGGTCCGGGTGCAGGGAAGCGGCGCCGCGCCCGGCGCTTACCTACCTTTCCGAAACATAATCCCCGGGAAATTTCGACTCCGGGAGGGGGAGGGGGCTGTGGGACGGGGCGGGGACGAGAACCGGGGGCGCAGATTTCAACCCGGATCCTCTTCGCCCACCCAGCGCCTGCCTCTGACCGCCCGGGGCGGGGGATAGAGCGAGGGATGTGCAGTCTATCCGGAGGGATGCATCTTCCAGAGGAAATGGTCCTCTTCGGAGCCAAATTTTTAAAAATCCACAAGCCACACAGCCAAGCCCGGCCGCCGCCTCCTGGGCGAAGCAGCGCCGCGCCGTAGCCGGCGATCGCGGGGCGCCAAGAGCCGGGAATCTCACATCCGCGCGGGCTCCGGAGTCAGGTTGGCCCGCCGATCCGGCTCGGGGCGCAGGCCGGCACCGGGCGGTGCGCAGCGCGGCGGCGGGGCCGGGACTGCGACTCGGCGCGGCCCCACCTCCTGGGCGCCGGCGCCCGCCCGCCGCGCTCTCCGCGTCCCGGCTCTCGGCTGCCGCTGGCTCTCCGCCCTCCAGCCCGCTCTCCCCGCGATCTCCTCTCCCTCCGTCGGTGTGCGAGCGAGTCTCCCTCCCTCTAATGCAGGAAATGCGCAAAAGACGTCAGTGTGTGTGTGTGTGTGTATGTGTGTGTGTGTGTGTGTGTGTATGTGTGTGTGTGTGTGTGTGTGTGTGTGTGTGTGTGTGCACGCGCGCGCGCGCACGCCAGTGTTTGGGGAAATAGAAAGTTTTGCCGGTTGGGGGAGCAATACAAGAAAAGTGAGCCGAGGAGAAAACAGCAGAGTCGGACAGTCTGCCCGGGTCGCAGCTGCGGGCAGGGCAGCCGGGCGGTGACATCGAGGGGGACCCCGGGAGAAAGTTGGAGCACGAGTGCGAGTGCGACGGGCTGTGGATTGGTGGGCTTGGGTCTCCACCGGGAGACCATCGAGCGCGCATCTGTCGCGGACTCTGCGGGCCAACGCTATCTTTAGAGCCGTGGGGAGAGCAGTCGCGGGGATCGAGTTGCCCCAGAGACTCAGGACCCTCCCCCAGGCCCATCCTATTGGGACCGTGGTGGGGAAGGGCAGCCTGCCGAGAGCTAGCGTGACTGTCACTCTGTCCGGGGATGCTCTGCTCGGGGCGGTGGGGGAGGGCGCACGGGGAGGGTCCAGGAAGGCTGGATCTGAGTTTTAAAACATGATTGTCCTGTCTTCCCTTTCTGGGGGTGGGGAGGGAAGGGGATTGGGCAGTGTCTCCTTTGGAATCAGCCTGGACTTCTCAGGCTGTGAGAACTTGTTGACAATTGAAAGCGTGGTAAGAACCCCGGCCCGGCTCGGTTGGGGAGTCTGTTTATTTTTCGCAAAGTGACTCTTCCTATTTACGCGAAACCTTGACTGTGCCTCTTTGAGGGACTTGACTCTGATCCGCGCGCTGACAGCCGGCGTCCGGGCAGCGGGATAGTGGGGCGCGCCCTTCGGGGGGCCATAGCAGTGTCCATGCTAGTTTCCTCCATAACCTTTAAACTCTTGTTGGAAGCCACGGCGGCTGGTCACGTGAGGCGAGCCCTGGGCTGCTGGGGAAGAATTTCCTCCGCGGGGAGCCGGGACCGAGAAGGCGGCCGGGCGAGGGACAGCCCTGCGCGCGGGGACTGGGAACCTGGGAGGGCGGAGCCCAAAGCGCGGAGGCCCGGGGCGCGGCCCAGTTGGAACTGCGAGGACTGCGCACGGAAGGGGTCAACCTGGGAGGCAGGGCTCTGTGAGAGTGGAGAGAGAAAACCTCCGCCCCAATCGCTATGCCAAGTCAAGTCGGGATGGGGGGTGGTTGTGTAGATGCCTGCAGTAGCTCGCCAGAGCTCACTAGTATTTTTCTGAGCTGTCCCCGTGGCGGGGACAGCTAGATATAGAGATGGTGCTAGAATACAATCTTGGGGGCAATTGAGACATGAGATCGTTCACATGTATAAAACCAGAACTTAAAAATGTCCTTTACATGGTCACTCCCACTAGCTAGAAGTATGATATTTTCAAATATCAGTTTGACAAAACATAAGCATTGCTGTTTAATTTTCATTTCTTTGATACGTGAAATTTTTTCCTCCTTGCTTTTCGATTCCACCATTCATTCTATCCTTATTTAACTTTTTAAATTCCCCTTCACAAGGCATGGAGTAAAAGGTAATTGTACAGAGGGCTCGATCTTTGGAAAATGCATTTGAGAAGCAGGACCAGCCCTAAAATGAGATGAGTGAGATGCTTTTCTAACAGGCAAAAACTTAAGGGTGTCAAAAACCTCATTAATCAAAATAATATTTTAATGCAAAACGTTAAAGTAGAAATTAATGTAAAATTTCAGGATGAACAGAATATCCAAAATTAGATAATTTTGAATGCTACACTAAGATACTATTTATGTTAATCAGTTTACTGACACTCATTAAATTTTATACTCAAACCGAATGTTTCACTTGCCTCACCTAGCCCTGGTCCAATTGGATAGCCTAGAAAATCAAGGATTTCATGAAGTTAGGGATCCTTGGCTAGTTAGTGTGCCAAGCTTTGGTGTCTAGCTCTGGTGGATCCTGTGATACATGCAAACAAAAATGCATGGGATTACAGGGTGCTGATGGCTCACACCTGTAAACCTAGCTACTTGGGAGGCTGAGATGGGGAGGATCACAATTGGAGGCCAGCCCAGGCAAAAAGTTCTGGAGACCCCCATCTCCAAAATAACCATAGCAAAAATGGACTGGAGGTGTGGCTCAAGTGGTAGAGCACAGCTTGCAAGTACGAAGCCCTAACAAACCCCAGCCCCACCAAAAAAAGAAATTTTTTTTAAAAAGGCATGGGTTGAAAAACCTTGACCTAAATCTCCCTCCCTTTTGGTGTATTAAACAGGAAATAAGTTTCAAATAAGAACATACAGAACTTGAACTTACTGCAAATCTTACTCCCTCCCCTCCCCCATGGGTGTCTGGCTTTAATAACTTTTTTAAAGTGTAGTATTACAGACACTTGTCAGGTCATGGAAATTATGATACAGAAACTTGTCAATGACTGTATAGTATTTTTTTGGATGTGTGTTAGATTGACTTTTTAAGATTTCTATCCTACCTTTCCTCAGTAAAAAAAATTACTCCAGCTGAGCTTAGCTTCTGTGTGACTTTTTTTTTTTTTAAGCAGGAAAGATTTGTTTTGGCTCACTATTTCAGTCTGAGGCAAGGCCTCAAATCTATGGTCTTGCCATCTCAGTGGCTGTCTTAAAACAGATAACCTACAAACTGCCAACACTGTTGCCTTGCCCCCTGGTTAGGTTACAGGAGAGCAGCACTGCTCTTAAGCAACTCTTTCCCCATGTGAATAGCCAGACTACAATTCTCATGGGCGAACAATACCAGTCTCCTTTCTAGTATGAGTCTTTCTGGGGGTGGGGAGATACAAAAAGATTTTGCTAAATAAAATATCTGGTCTGTATTGGAGGAGTGTTTACATAAAAAGGGGAAATGCTGGGAGTCAGCATGTAAACACTGCTAGTTTCCTGCCCTTGTTACATTCTTATTTCTAGGTGAATTGCTTGCCTTCCCACTCTCTAACTTGGCCAAATGAAAATATGTATTCTCCATGGGTATCTACTAATTTTTTTTTGAGGCATTAGGGCTTGAACTCAGGACCTCACACTTGCTAGGCAGGCGCTTTTACTGCTTGCACTACTCTGTCAGCAAAATTTACATAATTAAGTTATACTATATATATTTGGCAGTACTGGGGTTTGAACTCAGTCTTCACAGGTATCATGCACATGCCAGATGTGAAGTGGTTTAGGGGAAAACTCTGAAATTTACCTGAAGGGGAGGTGGGTCTAAAATAAACCTTTTCAGATTGCATGTGAAAAGAAAAGCCCTTGTAGGAGTGCGGGGGCTTAGAATGTAAAGTTCCAATAAAAAATTACCGACTGCTTCATCCTGCTCCTGGCCTCTGTATCCAGCACTAAAGGACAAGAAGATAGTTGGTGTGTGCACTGAATAAAAGGCCCTTTGGATTCCAACAGTGACCTAATTATTTCATAATCTTTGAGAGAGGGAAGAGAAGAAGGAAAATGGTGTAAGCATTTAACATAGATGATCAAGATGGGGTTTTTCTTTTAAAATTATGGCTCGTGGGAAAAGACTAATAGAGCAGCCAGCATGTTGCAGGGCAGTGTAACCAATGTTGCAATAGTTCTAGAAACAGGAGCAGCATCTGGGCCACAGGAACTTAGAAAGGCATCACCTAGGTCTGGCGGAGTGGCTCAAGTGGTAAGAGTTCCTGCCTGGTAAGTGTGAGGCCCTGAGTTCAAACCCCAGTGCCACAGAAGGAAGGAAGGAAGGAAGGAAGGAATCACCCACAAGGTCCTTTGACCTGGAGTTCTTACAGCAGCTAAAAGAAAAGGGAAGGGCATTAGAGGCAAAGGAAACAGACTGTGCAGGACAGGTAGGAAAGGCCATGGCTGTCTAGGATGCCAGGCTTGTGGCGGGTAGTAACAGGAGATGAGGTAGGATGGAGCCAATAGTTAAGATCTTGCAGGGCCTACAGATAGGTTTGAACTGCTGGGGAGCACTCCAGGGGGCAAGTTGGAGTTCATACTTTAAAAAAGC